TGTTAGCTCTTTGTCTCTTGCCACAGGAATAAGTTACAATGTAAAAAAAAAAAAACTTTGTCCAACTTCGTCCAGTCTTCAATACCAAGCAGCGAAGATGGAGCCATCATTAGCAAACAGTTAATGAAGCAGGGAGGAGCATTTAGTAACTAATGAGCCAGCCATTTTCTTTCTCAGCTTATATCGTGATCTCCCCGAGTCCTTAGAGAACTGTTGACAGATGCTACTCTTTCACAGCAGATATGTGTACAGTAGTACAAATCGCTTTCAAAATGAGTGAATAACTACTGGAGTGTCTGGCTTGTCTTTTTCTTCTTTTCTAAAGAGAGTTTAAGCGAGTCCTCCCTCTGCCTAACTGTAACTGGAGCACCATAGTGGACGAGTGGTGCTGCCACCCGAATCCGTTTGCTGACAAGAAGCTGCTGCCCAGGGCTGAGGACTGTTTGGTTACCGACACCCACCTTCTCCTGCACAGAGACACCAGCTGTGATCAAACTCTCACAGAAGAAGTGAGCGTTGTCCCTTCCAAGGACGGTCAGGATTCAAAGGTGAAGGACTTTAAAAAGGAAATAATTAAGTGCACTACACTTCATACTTCTTTGCTCCTTTACACAGAATCAATTCAGACATTGTTTAAGGTTTCTTATGTTTTTAATGTGAGTCTCAGATTTATTTTAAAGACATAAGTATAAAATCCTTACCACACTCACTGTTGGGATGGGGGAATTATTGAATTATTATGTGCCATAGATCTAAATGCATTTAATCTATAAACCTAGAGACATCTTCATAGTGAGCACTGGTCCAAAGGATAAGTCTTCAATAACTTAACCTGTGACCCTGGATGCCTCTGTCCATTTGTTATGAATGCTCTATTGTTATTATTAATCTTTGCATAAATAGAAGTGAGAAATGACCACCTCACAGAGGTCACATTTGGAGGTGTGCTGTGTGTCAATGACAAATAAGTCACTTTCATTACCTTACATCTGCCTCTGTCTCTTTGTTTTTACATTCTTCTTCCAATCCAAATTCTGCTGTCTTCTGTGAAAACTAAAGATGAAGTAAAAATATCGTCTGTTGATGGATTTTTCTTGGTTTTAATTGTGATTCCACACAGAAACCTTGCAGGCGGCTGACTCTGGTGTCCTGTAAGAGCTGTTCTTCAGCATTGGGAGAAGCTGTTGCACCAGGTACACACCATTTAAATACACCCTCATTCATGAATGTCAATTTTTAGTTAACTAAGGTCTGCTTTTGGTCCATGTGTCCTACAGGGATCCTGAAACTGTATTTCACTCAGGTGGTGGTAGAGCCTGCAGCGGGGGACCGAACTATGGACACCTCACTGAACAGGCAGGTTTTTTAATTAAAGCTGTAAGTGGTGATAATAAGAAAAGCTGACACCATTACAGCGGGGTGTTTATTATCTGCATGTAAATAAGAATGACCTACCTGTTAATAAATAGGTGACTAAAACACACACACACACACACTTATTCTTGTTTCTTTTTGGCTGCAGGTTTGCTTTCCTTTCCCTCACAATGAACTCGGCGCCAAGGCTATAAATCAGCCTCAAGTTTACACAAATATAAATGTCACCAACATTAACCTGGAGAACAGAGCAGTCACTCAGCCTATGTTTGTTTTGCTCGGCTAATGTCAAGCTTGACTTTCAACAATTCTGCTTTATTTCAGAAAGCTTGGCTTTTTTTCAAAAGCCTGTAATAGTGTTTGGCGGATTTAAAGAGAGATAAACATAAACATGTCAATTAAAGATTGTCACTGAAACCAGTAACCGTTACTTTTATTGTTGCCTTTTTTTCCCAGCAGGTCACGTTTCTTGGAGAAGACGATAGCAGCCATGCTGCTGAAACTGTCCATGTCACTGAGCTCCTTCCACTTTTGTGTCCAAACACCTGATGGGACAAACGTCTTACTGGTAGGAACACATAATCACACAATCAGAGCAATGTTTCAAGTGGTCCATAAATACATAAAACAAACCCGTCAGTAATTTCAAAGCAAAAGCAGCCCAGACTTGAGCTCCTTTAAAATCAGCAACACTTACTGTAATACAAGGAGCCTCTTATTGAGCCACAAACCACTGCCACAAAACAGTCTGGGCTTGTCCACTTATTTAATTTATTTTATAATGAGTCCTTGAGGAAACATCTACTGCAGTATAGATGGATGGAAAATTTAACAATATATTTAGGCTACAGGTTTGTTTGACTCATTAATTCACATTTTAAAAAACCTAGTTGTTGATCCAGGACCTTCCTCTGTGGCAACATTTAACTTTTAAGTCTGAAAAATAAATCAGACATAAAAAGTAGGTCGGGAAAATAAATACTTGGAGAACACTTTTTGGAATATTGCGCACTAAGTTGGACACATATTTTATAAGGTGACCTTTCAAAGTAGCTGGATGGTTTTTTATTCAATGACTTGCATCAGAAGATTATTCATTGAGAGCTGCTGTTAGAGAAATGATAAAATGACAGCACAAATGAGAACATGGAGCCGGTCAGCATGAGCGACTGTCTCAGTTGGGCTCGTGTTGATGGAGTGTGATCCGTCTACCGTGTGACGTAGAGCAAGTGTAACTGAAGTGTTAAGTGACCTGTCTGCTTCTTCTGCAGCTCTGGCTCTTGAACAGTGACTCCATCATAGCATCAGTCCTGCAGACGTGTGCAGAGAGTTTGAAGTCTGTCAGCACTGATGCTCTTCACAGTTCATCACCCCCAGCAGCTCGAGCCCTGAAAGTCCTTTACATCACCTGCTCCAACCCTGGGCCTGAGCAAAAAGAGTAAGAGAGGACACTTCACACTGATCGTCAGCCTTTTTTTTTTTACTCTGATCTTTGGTTCATTCTTTGTTTTCCTTGTCTATGTTTTGCTGTCATCTTCCCAATGCCACCTTTTCAATTCCACCTGACTTTGTGGTGAGCAGCTTTCAGCACCAGGGTTCCCTGCTCTGATCTAATTGCCTGTAATTTTGCAAACGAGATCGCTATCAAAAGAGTTTATCGTCTCAAACCTGTCAGTTGTGTAAGACCTCCTTATCGGTTGCATAAACACAGCATGTTCTTGTTTTTATTTTTTTTGTTGTTGTTTTGAGCGAGGCTTCGTGTACCTTTCTGCGACGTATCACAGAGGTGTAGGTGGATGTGCGGCATGAAGTTCTCCATGCTCGCTACAGCAGCTCCCCACTGGTGGAGCCTTCCACCCTCATTATTTTCAACTGTATCAACTCTCAATATATTTTTTTCCTTTTTTTTTTCCTATATTCCTTCCTCCTCCTCCTCCTTTTGCTGCTTCTCCTCATCTCTGTCTTCCCACAGCCACAGAGAGTGAAGGCAGCACAGAAAAGTTTTGTTGTTTCTAGCATTTTGACAAGCCCACCGGCTAACTTCCAGAGAAAGGGTAATTAGAGGCAAAGTCTGCTAAAAACTAGAAAGGCTTGTCTTTGCTGTCAAAGCAGTAAGAGTCCATTTAAATTACATAATAGACTGCAGGAGCTGAGTGACGTCCCAGAAACTTTACTGCTGATACAACATTACCTTATACTTCTATCTATGTAGTAGAAATGTCATTGGCTATGGACAAAATTTGTAATGGTCAGGCTATTTCCAAATTGTCCCAAACGTATTGCTATGAGTCACAGAGAAAAAAGATGCAAATTTATTGTATTTTGCACCTTTTGCTGAAATGGGAAGATCCAAAGCATGCTGGGAATTCAGTGTACAGTAAGAACAGTTCATGGGACATGGTTAGTACTATTTACCTCCACAAAGCCTAGGTGATTGTGTTAATGGCAGTCAAAACTCTCTTCAGTGCCTTGTTGCCTAATGCTAAAGTCAACTTGTTCCCAGTTTACTCTCCCAGACCAAAGATAGTTTTTCCTGTTGCCCAGTTTTAATAAATAAATAATACACTCCTTGCTCCGTTTCACTGTTGAGTGGTACGACTAAGAGAGTAAATCAGTGCATCAGCAAAAGGCAAGTACAAGTTAATATGTTGTCCTAGCTAACTTGTTTCTCTGCCTCTTTATTAGTCACTCTTTATGTGCAAACCCGCTCTAAACTGACTCAGCAACTGTGTCTGACATTCACTGAGGTCTTCCCAAAGGTAAATACTGGTGTTACTAACACCTCTGTCTACTCCCTACATAATCTCCCTTTCATCCTTCATCACTCATCTCTGACATTTTTAAATTAAATCTCATGCCTGGGGAGTCCGATCCCGGCCACAGTGGAACCTCTTTAGTCAGGATACAGCCACCTACAGGCAGCTGCGGCCAGAGGTTACTGTGTGTGTGGTTGATTCACCCAATAATTGTCCCGAGGATCAATGAGCCACATCCTACATGGATTATTCTTGTCGCTAATGGAAATGACTTGATTATGAGTTGAGTCAAAGTCACAGACGCCATTACAGTCTGGTTCCATCAGAGGGAGGGGGGCTTTTAGCTATGGAAGTGGAGTCTACTGCAAATTGTGTGAACAACAACTTTATCCTTGTACTGTCCACTGTAATTATTAATAAATCCAGTTCATGCCCTCAGGGTTTTGACAAAGTCTACATTAGGTCAATATGACAAACTGATCAGTTTTATACACTTCCACAACCGTAATAAATGCTTGTTGCTTGAGCATTATTGTTTTAAATAATGCTTACTCACTTTCAGGCTTTTTAGGTCAACAACTACAATATTTAGGTTTAGGGAAGATATAGTTCCCTCTTGATATAAGAAGGGTTTTTCTCACCTGGCCTGTGTCTGCACAAAGTCTTCACTCTACTCCAGAGCTGTAAAACCATTTAAAGGTACTTTCAACTACATAAAATAATCTCAAAATGGCATTCCATCACATAGAAACATGTATTATTTACTCACAGGCTAAGCTAATCATGCTAATGTTCCCATTTCATCTTCTTTGGATTTTATCGGCAGCACCAGTTGCTCTTCCACCAGGCTCCAAAAGAGAGAAGATGAGAATACATACAGTATATACACAGTAGAGGGCAGGATTCCTGCTAACGAACACATGACCTGTATGACCCTTTTGAAAACTGAGTCAAGTAATTGACATGGCGTGATGTCTTTGAACAGATATTCAGCAGAACTTCTTTAAACAGAAGTCTCTCTATGTGAGGTATCTTCTGTAGAACTGCCAAAATTTGAAGAGTTGCTCCTCTCAGGAACTGCACAGATGGCTAAATGTCACCCAAACAAACTGGATCAGCACCACACTCTGACAGCGCATCAATCTTTCCTTCCCTTTGCATCTCACCCCTATCTTCCAGCCTCACACGCACACACACAGATGGGTGCCTCAGTAACACTTACCATCCATCCACTCTTATGTATCACCAGTTATCAGGTTTACACTTGAAACCACTTAATTAAGATGACAGGGCGATTGCTTTAACATGAGATGTACAGCAGCCTTTTCTTGGCTTCAGCCTGATTGGATAATTCTGAGGCAGTCACAATTAATCACTGCTCATGTGTGTATGTGTGTTTCCAGCATCATATCCAGTTGGGAGGTCAATGTCATCGGACATCCTGTGGTGCTGCCACTGAATGTGTGCGAGGAGTTGCTGCGGGTGATGGATGACAGCAATTCTACGCTTCCTGCGTCAATGTGTCACATGAGGTCCTATGAGGTGAGACATTCGTAATAATTATCTTGGTTAGAAAAAAAAAATCCTACTTGGAGTTGAAAAGGTCTCTGACCAATATCAATGTAGTCAGATGACTCTGATGCAAGAGTAGACTAGCCCGCTTATCTGTCTGTATTACCTAGAAACTCTCAAATATTTGTAGCAGACTTGAAACCAAGATTGTAATTTATTAACATATCCGAAAGATTATCAACCAGTATTGCGTTAATCACCATTAGTTAGTAATTAAAGCTGATAAATTGACCGACAAATGCAGCATCATTTCTCCACTGAGCCATCCAAACAGCAAAGAGACTAAAAATAAAGTGACAAGCAGCGTTGTATATCAAATGGAGTAATTTTTTGATATTGCTCTATATATCTATCGGCAGACTTGTGTCTAATCACTTATATTCTCTAATTAATACTAATTAACTTTTGGACTCAAAAAAAGATTCCTCCGTCCTGAAGCCGGATCGTTCAAGAACTACTGCTCTAATCATTCTTATCCTTTTTTCAAAAGCTGTATGAGCTGCACACTTTTAGCCCACAGTGCTCACTCATTTCACACACTTATTACTTCCAGCACTTTGCTTTAACATTTTTCACCGGTGCCTGACTGTGGTTTTATCCCACCTTAATTAATTTCATGATTCACAGCCTTTCAGTTAGCAGCTTTGCTGTAGGGATTATGCAGGTCAAATGTAAAAAATTTCGTCTTTGTCAGCCCTATTGCTCTTTCTCACCTGTGATGGTACAAAATGCATATATTTAGCCAGAGTTGCCGAGGAAATCCCTTTGACTGGAAAATAGCAGGTGTTAACTGTGCTGACAACTCCATTCTCTTTGCTGTTTTAAATATAGTGACAGGGGTAATTAGCACCATTATCCTCCCCTTTCTGTTCCTAAAGTTTTGAATGTGACTGCCACCACTTAAACAAGTTTGCGGAAAGATACAAAAGATATTTCATCTTTGTACGGCTGCAGCAGAAATGAACGTATGGTGGAGCTGACTTCACTGTCGGCCTCAGGCAGGAGGTGTTTAGCTGAAGGCCTGAAGGAGTAGAGTGGATTCTTCTCTAGAAAGACTTTGTCAATGGAAAATAACATGTAAGACATCTATAAGTGTGGGCTTTTGTTGCCAGTCCAGGCTTATTCATTGGATTTCAGTAATCTTTGTTTTGTCTAACTTATTAGTTAACTTTGTCTAACAGCTGCTACACCAACTGGCCCATCATCTGCAGTCAGCTCACAGTGTTTTAGAAATTAAAAATAAATTGCACGTAATCAATGGACGTGTAAAGCGTCAAACCACATATGTTAGGAAGCTGGTGCCAGTGTGTAAAAATGGCGCTTACACTGCAGAATGACCGGATTGGCGTTGGCTGATGAGCAAATCTATGTAACAATCTCAATCTGCAATGTAAGTACTTTTAGAACTTTATCTTTCTTACCCAGAACTGCTATCTCGTTTTTCTTCCGCTGCTTCAAAATAACCCTTGTACTGTGCAGAAAAAAAGGCACTGGAGTCTGGAGTTGTACCTCTGACTGCAGTGTTGTTCTGAGGTTCAATGGACCTAAAAAAAAACATTACTGCCAATGTTACTCTCACCTCAAATGCCCTCGAAAATGAAAACAGCAAAAGATTGCATAGTTGATATATTTCTTCTTTTCTCTCTGTGACACATTAGTCCGATTAAAATAGTACCATTGTTACCATCAGGGAAAAAAACATGACAAATGGAACACGGTGGAAGTGAGTTTGTAATTAGTCTGCGATGAAATGGAGTAGGCTCTCAGATAAAGCGACCCAGACGTAGGACACAGTATCTGTCTGGTGGTTACAGCAGTAAAAAAAAAAGAGTGTGATAAACTGACACATCCTGATAGTAGCAGCAGAGGACAGGAAGGAAATGTGATCCTCTAAAGTTACTGGAGATGTTCTGAGAGCTTCTGAAAAAGTATTTAAGTGTTGTTTGAAAAGCAAACCAAAGTTGGAGATGATTGTGCGATAGGATGAAAATGGGAATATTGATCAAATGAAGTTGGATCGGCTGGAGAGACTTACAGTAAATAAAGATGTTTAAAGATTTTGGAGGAAATGGAAGAAAGAGAAGACGGCCGTCTGACCGTGGTGAATCACATTGATGCTCACTCACTTGCACAGAATTTAGGAGAAAGATTTCAATGCAATTGGGGAAAAAACAAATGCAAATACAGTCTGTAATACACTTTAACTCGCTAGTGTTATCAGTGTAAATGGCCGATGCTGATATTCAAGTAAAAAAATATCTCTAGCCCTGTGTATGAGTCTCTGAGAACAGTGGATCCCAAGCTTTTCCTTGCCAATGACCCCCAAACAGCATTAGCTTCTGGCTGGAGACTTCTTTGCAAACCCAATGACAATGCTACAAAATATTTTGGGCCCCAAAGTATGCACCCATCAGCCAAAAGAAAATCTCCTCTTCCATAAACTAACTATATATGCCAGTGACTAGAGGTTAGGGTTAGATTTCCTATATTTCACATTACTAAAAGCACCATGGGACATTTCAAGATCATGTTGTCTGGGCCAGATTGTTATTGCCAAAGATGTAGCTCTAGCTCTAGCTCTAGCTCTGCATGTTGTCTGAATCAGGATGTAGTCAGTTTAACTCGTCATTTTAAATCAATATGTGTTCATTCAGAGCAGCCGTGTTTTAATGATGTCGTTAAAGAGCCGGCCCACCCACACAGATGTTGCCATTTATTCCGGCTGATTGAGTATCTGGTCTGGCGAGGTAAATTAAAGCTCATGCGTTAACACAACTTCCTCACAGATAATTAAGACATGAAATAGCAGTACAAGCACAGGTGCAGCTCAATTCAGCTGAACTTGCTCCTGTGCTGCGACTCAATGACTCCCTTAATGCTCCACAGGGACGTTTAATGAAGCCAAATCCAGGTCTTTGAGATTTAGGTGATTTTAAATCATCCTTCAGTAAGCAACTGTGTCTGATGTGAGAAATGATGAAGTTGTGAAATGACAGGTGCAATGAAACTGTCAGAGGAGAGCGAGAAAGATGCCACTCAGGAACAGTCCTTGTGTAATAAGACCATGCTGTTAAAATGAAACATCATTTTATGCATTCTTGACTTAGTGTCGCCAGAAGATTCATATAAGTGGCATTTCTTTATTCTTAAACCTGTTTTATTATTCTCTCTGTTGGCACATAATATGATTATACTTTTATTTACCCATTTAAATCTACAACAACAAAACTCACATAAGTACATTTTTTTTATATATCACTGTATTTCTTAGCCTTCGCCTTCAACAGAACATCTTCCATTGATAATAGGACTAGGCCACACGCAAGTATACGAAGAACACTCCAGAGGAATATGTCAGTTAGAGCTTAGGTTGATCAGACACGCTAATATGAACCCAAGTATAAATATGAGTGTAAATGGTTGTTGGTCTTTATACATGGGACTGTGATGGACCCGCCTTCTGACTGCTGGGTTTGGCCTCAGCTCTTCCGCGACCCTGCAAAGGATTAAGCAGTAGATAACGGCTGGATGGTTATGGGACGCCTACCTTCAGCTAAGCAATGTTACCTCTGCCAATGTTACACAGTGCAGTAAAGCTATTGCTTAGTTCCACAAGTTTCTATGTGCATCTCATTCGTCTTATCCAAACTCTGGACTTTTGTGAAGCAAAGGACATCAGCAGTGTGTCAGCTCAGTCCTCCACAAGTCTTCCGCAACTCCAGTATAAAAATAACTCTGCAGCCATTAACAACTGATGTGGTGGCAAAAGCTAAGACAAAGCCAAAAACGGAAGCCCAAATCTTCCATCAACAGCCCCACAATATAACCTGTTATACGCTGATGTAAGTTAACTTACGTTGTTAATGATGAACACATTTCTCCATTAACAAATACCGTAATGCTAACAGTGCAACTAAATGAGTTCAAAACTTGTATTTGATTATGAGCCATCTTCAGTTCATAACCTTAGCATCAACCCATCTTTTTCTTCCCCTTGTTTTGTATGCCAAAGCCTCTGTGATCACAGCACATTTGTCTGCGTTCTCCGACACTGATTATGTGTGTGTGTTCAATTTCAATCACCGTCAGTAGATCAAAGCCTGCTCCATAAACTCAGACAGTTATATGCTGCATGTGAAAATGTCTACTGTTATCTGAGCAGCCGAGTTTCCCGCCCTCCATCCCTGGCTCTGCCAGTGAAATGGGGTGTGAAGTAGTTCCAGCACCAAGTGTCACTCTCAAGACTGAGAGCAGACACCATTTCTCTCCTCCTCCTCTCGTCCCTCATTAATTTTATCTCACCCTAGCAGGGTAGATGTGTAGGTTAGACAGGGACAGATCCAAAATCTGATCCGGCATTTTTCAGAGCCTTGGAAGTTGTGCAGCGAGCATCACCAAGGGAGGGACTATGAGCACTATGTCCAAATAGATTACTCCTACCAAATTCATTTCAAATGATTTCACATGAATAAACGAGTAAACGAGAGTGGAAATTAATCACTGGAGCGTGCGGTCCGTGGTATTATTTTGTTGTGTTTACAGGAGGGTTTCTTAGCCTCAGCATTTAATATCCTTGAAAGTGTTTTGTCATCCAGAAAATGAAAAGAAAATGTTATATTGCAGTGTCAATATTGTTTATTCATTGTCTAAATGACTAAAAGATGAAGTCAGAGATGCAGCATATTGATCTTCTTAGTGGGGTTTAAGACAAATATACTTTTAATGGAACAACACATCTGAGATACATTTACATTCATAACAGTTGAGTCAATCTGACACCGTAATGTGGCTCTCAATTGTTTTTAAATTGAATTTGCATTCAGTCATATGATTGTCTATAGTTAATAAATGGTTAATCAGTAAATACCTAACCTTTTCTAGCTGTTCTTAATTCAACCTAAGTAGGACTTTTACTCGTATCTTTGGAAGTTGGGAGTTTATGGGAATTGGGAAGCAATTAGGTAGGTTATTGTTACAGTACGATATTGCAATGAGTTGATTAACCCAATACCAAAGCAGTTGGATAGAAATAGTTAAAATGTTGGCGATCTTAGCCACCACCTGGGCCACAACACCGTACCACAGCATCTTGCTGCTCTCCATTTTTGGTCAAACAAGAGAGAATGCCTAAATTACTACCAGAATTGTGTTTAATCAAAACTTTCTCTGGTCATTAACAGCCTCCCCATATTGTATCTAAGGCCACCTGGTGTTTGGGTTTTTCGCCCAGGAACCATAGCTAAGCCATAGTCATGCTGCTGACAAATTTACCAGAAGGATAAAATTTTGGGCACCCACCAATCAAATTTGCTGAATTCCCTCTTTTTGAACAGAAGTTTTAAAATATTTATTTATAAACTTTCTTCACAATCTTTGCCAAGTTTTAGATTAAGATGGAACCATTCAGAGAGAACTTCTGGTCAGGGTTCTGTTAATAAATTCTTCTTTCTTTTTTTTTTTTTTTTTTTTTTTTTTTTTTGACTACTGCTTCTGTGCTGCCGTGAGGCAAAATTTACTCTTTATTATTGTGCGTACACTCAACATCCATGAGACATTCAGGCTAATAATAACATGATGACAGCTCCATATGCTGAGTGCTCACGGTTTTCTGTGTCAGGAATAGAAGTGTTAAATCCCAGCACTTGGAAAGCACTAATTAGTTCACGTACCCCAATCTCACAGATTCACCTGTCAGGTTTCTGTGGACATATGTTAGCACATGATCGTAATTAAGATTATTTAAATATTCGGTAGGACGACTGCTTGAACTGCACACTGCTTCTTTGAGTCTAATTGTTAGCTAAACGAAAATATTGTCACACCTCTCACCATTTTGTCGTCGCATTTTCTGTGCTGCTCCCCAAAAGAATGACGATAAGAGTCCCTGGTACGGAGCTTCAAAGTGTGTGTTTTCTCAAAAGACAGCTTTCAAACTAGCCTTGTCATCTTGGTATTATTTTACACCGACATGTTCTGTCAAGTCCCCTTAACTAAATCTCTTGTCACAATGATCCCAATGAGATCAAAAGGCTGTTAAAGCCTGAAACACATGGTGACGTTACATCAGTGTCATCCACAGACCTGCTGCCATTGAAGTGAAATTCTAATTCTGCCAAATAAGAACAACAGAAAATGTGTTGTTCGTGCCTGTGTTCTGTTGGATTCTCCACTATAAAAATGATTTAATAATTAGTTATGAGTTTTGTAAAAACACACTTTGTTTTTCTTAAATGCGTCTGTGACTCGTCCTAGTCAGAACATCAGCCAGATGACGGTAGCTTCAAATCCGCAGGTGATGTGACACCGTATTGGAATCACTTCTGTTCCAAAATTAGCAATGCTGCCATCTCTCTGTCATCATTTTTTGGCTGAATAGTCTGATGTGTTGGTGTTGTTGTTTTAACTGAAGTGAACATCAAAACAATGTCCAGGAATATTCTGGAACTACACCAGATATCACACTGATTGTTTGTTTTTCTCTCACGTTCTATATCAGATCGTGTAACACAATTTGAGACTGAACAAATAAAGTCGCTCATTGGCTTGTGCAGTTGTCTATTAATGAGAGGGTTGACAGTTCGATTCCAGGCTTTGTGTGGTACGTGCTGCCCCTTCGACAGCCTTGCTACTGTATCAATAGATGGATGCACTTTAGGTGTTCATCAGAACTAGAAAAGTGCCATAGACAAACATCTGACATCAGGTGCTGGTGCAAAGACGGACAAGGCTATTTTTTAATAGCTCGTCTGCTCTAAAAGTGAATTACTTTAAAGAAACGATGACTGAAAAGCAAAATCAAAATAGCCAAAAAATAGCTCTGAATAATTGTCCACTCTTAGTTGTGAGCAAATTTGTTGCACTTGGATAAAAACGTTTTTCTAGAGCTACCAAGTGAAATAATGAATCCTCAAACTAGAAATGTAATCTTTCCACTTCTGGGCCCAAGTTTTAAAGTTTTGTGTTTTGCTCTGCAGCGTCCCATTGATTAATGGAAAGAGAGCAATCCACACTGCTGACTGTTCACTTCTTCCATTTATGACCAGTAATACTTTAACCAAAATAAAAGTGAGTCCTATAATAAAAGTCTTCCCTTTCGGAGCCACCGTTGTTTTAGCAACATCTCCCCTCTGGTTGCTGTTCGTTATCATTTGTATGAATTACAAATGAAGCGCTTGAGTAGTGAACAGACATTGGCATGAGAATGAGGAAGACAGGGCCTTGAGTGAAGCAAATGCCCTCATCCATCATCCCAATATAGAGCCCTCAGTGGAGCACAGCCATTGTCTGCAGCAGGCAAACACCCAGGAATAGCAGATGGAGAAGGAAAATGTGTGTGTGTTGTGAGTAAATGCGGAGCTGAGCTGAGCAGATTTGTTTTCTGGGCTTTGTTTGTCTGAATGTGTGTTTTCTTAAACTGATTAAAACTGCACCACCTGTAGTTAATTCTGTTATTTTAAGATTTAAACTGCACTCAGAGTGCTGTGCTAATCAAAAGAGCAGTGAGATCAACACATCTGAAGCCTGTAGTAAGTAAACATTTTCATTGTACAGGTTTTAAACATGACCAGAGAGTATTAATCTAAATAACACAACATTATTGAACTCTTCTGGAACAGAGAGACAAATAACAGCAGGTAAATGTATGTGTTTTGTACTTGTTTTTATTTGTGACCAATCCAAATGATGGAATTGATAATATGGACAAATGTCAGAAATATATATACATTTGCAATAGAAAATGTATATCATATAGTTAGTGTTTTGCTTTTTTTTTCATTCCCTGTGCGTCCTGCTGGTAGAACACATGAAGAGTTACTTTGAAAAGTTCTGGTGCTCAATATTAGTCAGACTACAGTACTTTACAATCCATGTGACACTCGTGTCACTCACATCTCAGTCCTAGATTTACTACCCTGTGGTGAAGGTGGAGCCGGTCAGAAAAATGCATCCTGGGAGTTGGTATGGGATTTTAATATATATATAATATAATAATAATATATTCTGCACGATGTTTAAAAAAAATAAACAGGTGAATTGACCGTATGAGAGTTGGGTTTAACACTAATATAGACCTATAAGTCTTCACAAATGAATGTGATTAGTATGTTAATTGTAACAGCACTACTTTTTATGTTTGAATATTTAACAGTATTTTTCCTTTTCTTTTTATATTCGTTCTTAGGTTGCATACTTGAGGCTCTGAGGTCAAATGTTGGGATCCAAGGGTCAAGACTTTCTCAGGTTGTGAGAGGAAAATGCAGCAACAGAAATAATTTCTGTCTGACATTTTCTACTTGTCTCCTCCTGATTCTTGTGTCAACATGTTTTACAGTTTATAAATACCTTCACATGGAATCATAGTAACACACCGTAACACACCGTAACACAAAGCTGGAGGAGCATGACATCATCCTAACAGCATATAATTAATGGTTAGGAAGTCTGTATGTATCCAGTGTACGTTCACTCATTTCTTTTTACTGCTTTTGTAATTTTCTTACAGTCGTCGACAGTAACAGAATAAACTCAAATATCCCTGAAACTTTCTCCTCTTCTTTTTTCATTTCGACTGTAAAGCGCTGCTTGTTGATAGGCGGGCCATTGTTCTCGACTTGGCTCCTGATGAAAGCTTATTATAGAGCTTGTTAAGCCTCAGGGTACAACAGAGCATCCTCCACTCCGGTGTAATTATGGCTTGTGCAGTGAGGTGATTTTTGTCTAGTTGTGGGTTTAACGTCAATGTAGTGTTTCGGTGATTGATTGTTTTTATGTAACCTGTGCAGCAACGAGAATGATTGTAAAATGTAGTTAAATCCAAAAATGGGCCTTTAATTTGAAAATAAACAATTTGGCTCGTGTACTTTGTGTATTGTGTCAGAGGAAGAAAATTAAGCAACATGTATGCAATAAAACTCAGAAAATGATTCGTGATTCGCAAATCCTTAATGTAAGTAGTACTTTGTGTGGTTTATCCACTACTGTATGTATAAACATAGTTAAACCCAAGACTTGGGGTTTAATTTTGACCCATTTCTATCTCTAATTTACCCTGCTTATAAGATCGGTTAACACTGAAATTGTTCACCAAAAGTGTGATACATTTATGTTGCATTTTGTTTTCAATAAATATAACTTTCAGAAATATTATGAAAATACACATCCAAGATAACAGACGAGGTTTCGGAAATTAGCTTACTTCATTGATAATATTGGATAACTAGCCAAAAATATATTGAATTTCACTTAAAGAAATTATAAGAAATAATAATACATTTTCTGGGAAATGTCAAAGTAACCAGGGAAGGTGTGAAATTAGCACTGAATGAATAGCAAAAAGAAAAAAACGTCAACACCCTTTAATGTAATCCCTGGTTTATTAAAGGATTAACCACAAAAAATACCAGAAATACCGTTCAGCTCTTGTTGAATATTCCTCTCCACTCTTAACATCATCAGAAATATCACGTTTGTACCAACCACCTCAGCTCTTTTCAAAGTATATACAGTAGTATAAATCGGACTGATGTATCACTGATCACCACTGGACCCTGAGACGCCCACGTCTCCTCGTGGATGCTGACCACGACGTCCAGTGTCCATCGTTAGTCTGACCGGCGGTGAAGCACTGTATCGTACAAGTACACGTCTATTTTTATAAGCTTTTAGTGAGGCCTGGAGAACTATTTTTCACCTGCTCCTGACTGTGTGCCTGGATCTGCTGAATGCTGATGCAGCAAATGACAATTACTTTTAAAAATACAAAGAAGCATTGTACCCACTGAGGCAGCAAAGCAGACAGTGAATTGGCTAATTAAATACGTCTAACGCTGAACCGTCGAGGGCTTCTCATTTCCTCTCTGCCCTTTCTCCACAAGTGCAAATGAAGAAGGCTCTAAATAAGCCGTTTGTTTGAAGTCCACCGAGCAGAAGGAGCCGCTCCACATTACTGCCTGCTTCTTAACCGACCAGCGCACACATGGTCAACCAGGAGCAGAAAAAGACAACGATTCTTTGTCTTTCTCCCCTTGATGATCGTCAATGGAAGTGTCAAATTAAAACATTTGTGGCCGGGGTCCGGTGTGTTGACACTGTGCAGCTCATTAGCTATTTTTAGACAGATATCTGGTGAAAAACATCAGTCAGAACAAAGGTCTGCTCCACTTTGAGCCGTAGTAATTACTCGTCCACGGAGGAGGAACGCGCTTTTTGCTTCATACATGCTGTGGGTAAAACAGAAAATCATGCCTGTACAAAATAGAATGCTGGGAGCTGCAGAACAGGAGCTGAAATCTCCATCTGTATCTGACTGACTGTGGAGAAAAATATACACACAATATACACGGGCTGTAGGATGGTCATTTTTACTAGCAGCAAATTTCCTCTGGTTCAGTTTGACTATTTTATAATATTGTATCTAAATGTAAATATTGTAGTATATATTATTATATATAATATTATTTATTTAATAGTTTGCTGTTACGACACCACACCCCCACGTATTAAATTACCAACAAAGTCTTACTCCCTTATCCTGACAAGCTCTGTTTACATTTGTCGGTGGGACTACATATTTTTATTTTAACCTTTTTGGTTGTCATGGTTTTATTTTGTGGTGAAATTATAACAAATTTGCTCTTGGAGTTATTAATTATTGTTGTGACTGAACACTGAGATTTAATTTTTTTTTAAATTTTATTTATTTTAATGTTATTTTGTTTTACTTTGCTGTTTCACTGTGTAGTATAATACATATTGTCCTATGATGTACTTTGTTGATATAACTCTAATACACCTTCCTTATTAGCCATCTTGCATTGTCTAATTGTGTACTGTCTTTTACTGCGTTCTGTGTCTGTCCCCTGAACTCAAACTGTTAAACGCTGCTGCAGTCAGAACTCCCATTTATCTCTGAATCCTTCATCCAATCAAAGATGAGGGTCCATTAAATCCACACACGTGATCGCACACATGGAGTGATCCACCACGTCTGCTACGGCCAAGGCATGGATTCCAAATTGGATTTTCTAGGGCTACGGCTTTGCTAATGTGTTTGATATTATTTTCATATTACTTGGCACAGCGATGTGTAAGATTACAAAGTGGCTGCTGTAGGAAGAATAAGATCCTGTAGGGAGAGGTCAAGCCATAAAGCTTGTCTCATCTCTGGGAGGAAATGAGGCATTAGATTGAGTTGCCGTTTTAGTCACCCACTCCTAATGGGTCATCTATCCTGAGAGTCCAGGGAGTTCCACCAGAGAAGGATCCCAGTTGCTCTGGTTTCACTGAGTCACTCCAAGGGATAAAAATAACACAGCAAACATCTTTAAACTCTGTTTAATGTCTTACAACATAAATTGCCCTTGTTGGTTTATTTTTCTATTCACGGAGCCTTGCAAAACACAAAAGGCAACATTTCTCTGTAGGTGGCTGCTGTCAACGTGGGAAGCTTATTTTAGTCTGTTGTATAATTAAAAATTCTGCTCTGCTCTCTTTTCTTTCCAAAGGGAATAATAGGCTTATGGTAAGAAAAACATGAACAAACATGATAATTATATAAAACTGAAAAAGAATCTAAATGTATTTATCTATTTACAGCATGTATACAATGGAAGTGGGTTATATTGCTAAGTAAACTGAAGGTTCCAGTTTCACTCCCAAATTCCACATAGGGCTAATACAGGAAATACTCCAAGGTTTATTTTTTATATTATTCAAAAGAGCATCTAAAAAAGAGGTTCCGTCTCTTAACCAGTTGTCCAATCATCATGTAGGAGCCCAGCCCCTGCGGTAAATTCCCACTGGAAGCCAATTGAAGCTGAGCTTCAACAGGGTTTGATGTGCTCCATAACTGCAGATGAAACATCACATCAGACTATCTGGGATTAACAGTCGATACTAAATCAACTGGCCACATAGCTGGCCATGTTTGTGAGCTGCATAGTAAATGGAATTCAAATAAAACAGTATACAGTATATTTGACAATTCATTTTATTTTAGTTAATTTCTTCCCTGCTGTTTTAAAGTAATCTCAGATACTCAGTAATATGCTACAGAATACAGTTTAAAACATTTTGTGGACATTGGGAATTTGCTGTACAGATATACCTTTGTACATAAATCTGTTCCTCTACAATGCCTTTAAATTTGGAGGATGAGAATAATCTATTCAAGTGACATCATCAAGCAGTAGGCCCTCATTTTATGTTTGTGCTTGTGGCTAACTGTCTTCGTTTTCAATATAATTAATATTATATATAAATATTAGCTAAAAACGCTTATTTAACGCTAATTTACCTGTGTCTACATTTTACTTTTCTCTCTTTTTACTTTCTCAGATTCATGCTGTCTCGCCCTTTGCTTTAGTCACTCACTTGACTTTCCGTTGCTTGGTCACTTGCCTCAGCCTGAACATTCACCTCATTCCATCCCCTGCACCTGCCCCTCTGCGACCGCACTATAAGTCTTCTATGTTGGCATTCTTACAAAGTGATAGGGCACATTGTTGGAAGCTCCCAGGGATCATTAATTCTTCTACTGGTCCCTGAAAAAAAAACCTCTGTGGCAAATATAGAGCCAAGCAGGGCACACAGAGGTCGCTGAGTCAAATGATGGAGCTGCCTCGATGAATACATGACAATTCATCCACCCACACAAACACAAACGCACACCTCACAACAGACACACAGAAAGCACCGTTGGAGCTAATCTAGCCTGTGACAGGAAAGTGACAGCCCAAAACCTGCTTACTCTCATCAACTGACTGGTCCAATGTCAAAATACAGTGTGTGGGAATGAAACTTGTCAAGTACATCAGCAATATTTCTCTTGTTTAGGTTGGAGTTTTTGCACCAGTTTTAGTTTTTTCCCCCGATGATGCAAAACCTTCCGGAAGTGTTGGGTAAGTGATGCAGGTAGACAGACACAGACCCTGAAATGAAAGCCCTGGTCTGGCAGGTATGAGATGTTGTGAGCTGACGGCTGACACAGGAGATGGAAGCTGTGCCAGACGTGAGGTGTTGTTTCTGCTGTTTCTGCCTCTGCTGCAGTTTGATATCTGCTCCAGCCTGGGGGAAGATTAATCGTCTGCTACTTCAGAGACCAGAGTCGTTGGAGGATCTTTTTGCCTCACTCTCACAGGGGACAAAATGCTTATCAGTGTGTGTTATTGGACATAAGCAGTCAGGTTTTCTGCCAGAGTCGATCCACACTACTGGGAAAATGAACAGTACATGATGTTTGTGCTCATTTTAAAACTTGATCAAAACAAACAAAAACAATGTCCCGAAACCATTTTTACCATTCAATAAGAGTGTGAGTATTTTCATTTCAGTACTTTCCAATCCACAGATCTTCAGGTTGTCTTTCTATAAATGCACAATGACCTGGAAGGTAGTGTTATATCAGTGGCCCAGATCTGTGGGTCAAATGGTGACATACAGTAATAATGTTTTTGTTTAAAGTAACTATGATATACACAATGACACACAACGTTTGTCAAAAGATCAGATTAGTCCAAACTGATCTACCTGTTGCCTCTGAATAAGATGTTAGCCGCTGTTAGATAACAGCTGGGACAACAGCTGCTTGGGAACACTCAGGATCAGAATGAGGAATTGGAAAAAAATAGGGAACAGGAAGAGTCAAGGAAAAAGAAGGATGTAAACACGAGAGCAATCTGTCAGAACCTCACGGCCGAGACAAATGGTTCAATCTACAGAGGTTGGTGTTGTCTCTGCTCTTCTCCTGGGTGTTATCACTGCAGCCTGTGAAAGCGTAGAATTGTGTTTTGCTGAGGTGACGTACAGGATCTGTTTTATACAAATAATTATACAATTAAACAAAATCTATATAACTAAGAGATCAACATAAGGATGCAAATTAGCATTTTAATAATTAGCATTTTATTATTTAGCATTTTAATAATTAGGTTCACATGATCCTTATAGTAGCAGATTAAAAACAACCCAAATCTTTAGCATCCCAGTCAAATGTAAAATGATAGCTTGTTAACTTTTGTTAATAATCACAT